AGTGAAACGTGGTTTGTTACCGCAGTATAAACGGGTGCAATGGAAACGTGTTTCCCTGCAAACGAGGACGCCCCCTTCTTTTTCTCCGGAAAACCGATTGCGGGAAGTTTGAAAGGTGCTCGAACTATTTTGTTCCGAGAATAGAGAAAAACAGTGGGGATAGAGCGTGATTCTTTGTTTCAATATATTCGCCATCCTATGGTGCTTAATTGTAGTTTAATTAAAATCCAAGCACGCCGCCCGTGGGAAAGTTTCAGAAGTTAATCCCCGGCAGAGTCGGCGATACTTTCATATTAGCAAGGCACCCGCCGTTCCGCGGCTGCTAAAATAAAACGAGTTAATTACATTATGGCACCGACGTGCCGCATCGCGACGCGCGTTCTTCGGTTTAACCAGCCGAATATCGTGCACTTGCGACTATGGGATACGGAACGCTAAATTATTTCCGGCCTTTATTGGATTTTTAGATCGATATTGTGCTCAAGACGATTCCCTTCTTCTTCGATGAAAGCAATTACGTTGATCATGCTATTACACACGCTGTAATTATATCAATTATTTTTTTAAGTGTACGTAATTTCATGATACTATTTCTTGACACCTTTGGGAGGATTGAAAAACAGATTCGTTTCCAAAGAATACGTTTAGATTAAAGAAGCTATCATAAAATTTAATGATTATTATACGCGTCGTTGCAATGATTCTAAAAGAATCTGGGCCGATAAAGTGACCGGACTCTTTTAGTTTGAGAAATATTGTTCCTTATTTATAATTAGCAAATGATCGGGAAATAATTATCAATAACTGTAATTGAGAATTGTTTTAGCAATATTTGATATTAATTGTCACACGGTCTATAAAATAGCTTATGGATATTTAGATAGATTATAAAATTTCTATTGAAAGAAAAGTTGTTGCGAATGTTGTTTTCAACAACATATGTCAAGGTTATTGAAATCGGTGGCTGGTTTGATATATATTTACCTATGAAAGTTCGGAATGAGTACATTTATTTTAATAGTGATTATTATGATCATTCGTTGCAACAGTACTGCAACGAGTTTATGTTTCAAAGTAAGAAGTTACTGTTCCATGTTTAAACTAAATACACTAGACAACATGCAGTGGCCGTAATTAATTCGTACAACTAGGGAATTTGATTTAAATTATCCTAGAACAAGAAACTTAAATGTAAAAAGGTTAGTAGTAGTAATCAAAACACCATTATTTACGGTCACCATATAATAGAACATATCCGATGCAGCAAAACGGTTAGTAAAAGGATTACGTGCTCGCCGATGGCCAACTTGGCCAGTTATTCACGTAAATACGCAGCGAAAGCAGTGGGAAAGGAGATCGAAGATAACCATTCAATGTAGGGGATGTGAAATTAAAAAGGGAAGATAAAACTACTAAATAATGTTGCACTCATCAAGCACATTGCAAATAATGCATATGGTAATTAAATGCTTCCCTTTTTCAGCAATAATAATATCCTGATAATTTAAATAAGACCGTCCATCAATTCATTTATTTCATTCCTTCAATCATTGTAATTTTTAATCAAGAATATTTTCTGAATCAGAATTATTTTGAATGGAGTAATTTTCATACAAAAGAACCATCGAGGTTTTATATTTCTGTATATTAAATGAATATTGATGATGAACAGTCCATTTACATATCTATGGATTCCACGTCCTTTTACTTCTGATGGATTATTCAATAAACGTCACTATATAAAGTATGGTACTACGTCAGTATTAAATACAATAATACAAAGTATTGTTATTAAAATGTAGACGTATAGTATGGGTGAAACATAAAAATATACTTTAAATGTATTGTATATTAAAATAATTTATTATAACTTTTCATTTACATCGAAGTAAGGAGAATCTTTTTTGATTCATTGGTATATGTCTTAGAAAATGTTTTCTACAAAACGATAAGAATACACGTGCCATTTAATTTTTCATATGATAATGGTAGAAGAAGATAAAGTCAATATCCGATTTCGTCTTGGAGGAAATAATTTGTAACATTTTATTTGGTCCATCCTGTACAAATATTCAATACAAATATTCGCTTTCGGATTCTGTTAAACCTGCCTCGTGCGGTAACAAAAACCCATCAGCATTGTGCCGCGCGATATTCGCATGACAATCGACGAGGCTGGCTGAGGCGCTTTGAAATATTCATTGTGTATCAGAAATAATAAAAGACATTGGAATAATTCTTTGATCGGTTGCTACGCGACGAGCTCACTAGTATATCGGTCAGTAAAGTATTAAATGTTCTTTATTGAATAAAATTTCGAAAAATAAATAATATGTTCTTTCGCAATTAAAAATTTAATTGCTATTTAAACTTTTATTAGTGACTTCTATCTTTTTCGGTTATTTGCAATTTGGGACACAGAATAAATATTGTTGAAGACGTAAATATTATATTTCAGAAATGTCAAATTTTATTCGTTTAATATTTTATTTTATTAATGTATTATTTTATTATTTTATTAATTTTATTATTCGGCGATTAACAGTTTTTGTTTGGGTTCTACATTGTTCGACGTATTTATCAACGTCAGTGAATTTGGATTTTAATGCTGTTACTTTTCACATTATATTGACGGTGAAAACATATTTCATAAAATGGGATCATGTAAAAATATATTATATTTTCTCATCCAATGCTTATTACAGTAAACCTTCTTAACTCTAAAATCATAGAACTTGCATTTCTCGAAGGTTAATTGTATTAAACATTATAAACTACAAAATTATTAAAAATATTTTAGAAAATTTAATCGTTTGCTTAGTAACTATATATATTATTACAATAACTTCTCTGCATATTGGTATTTTGGATTCGAAAAAGTATCCACGTATCGTAACAATTACTGTATCTAAAATATTAGTTAAAAAATAATATTAAAATATAGTTAACGAATTAGTTTAACACCCTGTAATTTTCTAATTACTTTTGCACGAAAGAACAAGTACGATAATAACATATCCCTAAATTCTATGAAATTCGATATGAGTGTAAATACAAACTGTAAAATAAGTACATATGCATAGCTTTGTAAATAACTGTATATTTGAAGTGCATGCAACAGAATCGTTTGAAGACTACTTTTGACAACTAAATTTCATTTTCCAACTGATATTTGTATATTCGTGAATATTATTAAGCATATGATCTACCGTTACTTCACCGGGATTAATTTGCATAATACGCTATATCTCCGAAATCCAGGATGACATTCACTTCAAACTTTAATTATGACTAAACTTTGAAATGAATTACTCATGTGGGTACGTCTATAAAATTTGCGCATAATTACCGTAAAGTAGATATTTATTACCATTCATTGTCACATTTTATTACATATTCTATAACAATTCAATAAATCCGACTACTTCATGAGCATTGTAAAGGATTACATTCTACAGTGACACACTTAAATCATTTTATTTGTCTGTGATGTATATGTATGAAGAAAAATTCTATAAGTATCCCTCACAATTTGAATTTGCACAGGTCTTATTTAAATAATTTAACGTAAAAAATAACACTAATCTAAAACCGTTTTAGGTTTCTAAAATTCCTAAAACCATAACAATTTCTAAAAGTTTCTAAAAATTAAAGAAAAATCCATCTTTTCTCAAACATTTTTGGAAATACTTTATTACCAATTTTTGTATTACTTTATTTCCAAAAATTATTTTATTTTATTCCTTAATCAACCGAGAATGCTTGTGTATCTTTTTTCGAAAGGTGCAACAAGGTGCGTTATAAAGAAATTATACAGGATAGGTAGTACACACGGCGAACTAAACCGTTTGGTAGTCATTGGCTTATCCAAGACTTTGTCATGCTAAACTTTCGAAGGGTTAAAAAGATGAAGCTGTAAGGTAAACGCGCTTTATAGTTGTCTTAACCGAGCAAACTTCGCGAACTCCAGCCTAGCTGAAACTTTCATATTATAAGCCGCGTCTGTCAAAGTACATGATTCGGGCATTTCATCAGCATTGTAACTAGTTTCATCAGCCGTACGTCGACGCGCAAATAGATACTATCACACTGATACAGAATCAGTGAGTCAAAGCAGCCTTCATGATGTTATTTGCAATGTTGGTGAAATGTCGAAAATTAGCCTAACGAACGCAGTTCACACTCGACAAGCAGCACAAACCTTACAATCATGAAAATTTCTGATTCTGACTACGTTCTCCGTTAAAATGAAATAAAATGCAAGTAATTGATGCTTGGTAACAATTTTTCCGCGATCAATAGACTTGACACTAGATTTACTTAGTGTAGCAACTATACAAGTTTTCGTCCGAGTTTCAACATAAAAGTTATGTCTAGTTTTCTAACATCTTACAAAAGCAAAATCCCAAGTTAACCCCTTATCCTGTGACTTCTTTCGCAACTGTGCTCGATAGAACTGCTTTATCGTTAATAATTGCATAGAAAAAGAAAAGAACCCAATGCTTATTCTGTCAACGTTTGTTCTAAAGGTTAAATATCGATAATAGACAAGTAACATCTCATTCCTATTCAAAATAAATAAACATTTACGGTCACAAAGTATTTACTTTCACCACGAAACGACTGTTGAAATCTTTCATAACGCTATCACTGGTAATCGAGATGTTTCCAGTCGGCAGTTTATGAAAGTTATAGGTACTCTGATAAAAGCAAACATAAGGTAAGACGAAAGGTAATATTAAGGATTCAGCAAAGTCTCATGAATAAATGATAAAGTGACTTTCCTTTAATATTTCATCAAGTTTACTTTGATGGATATAGTCGCTATGTAGTAGTAACTTAACGACAAATGTGCACCCTGAGCTCAATGTCTAATGAGATCAATTAATCTTAACAGACAGAAGGGATTTGAATGCTACCCAGCGATAAGTTCCAACCCTACTCAAGCATGAATGAAACTGAATGTATTCATGATATCCGGTCATGTGTTTCAGATGACAGCAATGTCGAGGCAGCGGTACGCAAACCGCAGCAGCGGGAACAGATAAGGAAGGGAGGAGCCACGCATCGAGCAATCATGTGCAGTGTCATGTGGCTCCTTCGGCTCCTAACGACTTGCTGCCTCGTTTATTTATCGGCATCCGATGTTCATACAGGTACGTTTCACATTAGTTCGTCCTATTAATCCGTGTCGTTTGTTTTTTTAACTTCTAAAATAATGTTTTATTGTGACGCGTACCACCGGTGGCTCACACTTGAATGACTTGATTTTGACAATTTACTTACTTGGTTTGGAGAATAGACAAAACTGGCATATGGTGAAATTTAATTTGCTTATTGATAATGATCGAGTTGTCGATGCGCTTAGCCCGCTCGAATTTTGATGATTTTGAAATGTGTTGTTGAGGACAGGATTTTAACGCTAGAAGTATTGTAAGAGTCAAAATGACTGGTTTCGGTTCTTTTGTTTCGTAATTATTGATATCTTCAAAGCAATGAATATTCGAAATGATTTTGAATATAAATAGTCCCACTTGAATGCTATAATGAATGTCTGAAGAAACTGAAAATAATTTATTGTTAGAATTTTTATAAGGGTTACATAGTAATCGTATTAAATGCCCGATGGTTCTAATGTTAAACAACTTTTCTCTTTATATGCTGTCAACGGAAGGTTTTAGTTTCCGAGGTAATCGTAAACAACACGTGCACGTGTTAAGTATAAAATTCTTATAACTTCATGATCTGTAGCTCTCGAGTACCTTTTACCGCGAGAAATATAAATACCACAGCACGAATTTATGGGACAAGCTAATATTTGTAGAATACCTTTAACTTTTAAGTATGAACGTGTATTTAACCTTTACGTATGGAAGTCTGAAAATTACCTATTAATGTTAAGTATTCTCGTTTGTAGCAACTAATAAACAAATTTATTGTATTTATTTCAATATCTCTACAAATTTTCTCCGGTTTCAAATGTCTACGAAATTATCGTTGATTTCAAAATTCACTGTATTTTATACAGAGGTCTGTGAAGTCGTTCGTCCATACTTAAAGTTTAAGCACTTTGAATTTTAATGATCAAATTATTAATGTAATATAAGTATTTCCTGTTTTATTTTCTTAACATTTTGAGGGTTACTTGCATACTTAGCACTTTGAGTTGGACACAACTCAACGAGGGCACTCAGTCTCACAGAAATGTCCTGCATTTACTTAAATAGGGACTATTTTTGTATTTTTCTTCTATAGGGCAAGTTGGGAATAGATAACCCACTTTTTTTGAAAGAACTATTACATTATATATATCATTGATAGCTAACAAAACCAAAATATATTTATGAAAGTAAATTAGGTGTACGAAGAATAATTAAATAGGTATCTGTGCAATATAATATAGTTACTATGTTACACTGTTGTTAGAGGCAATCATAATAAATGTTTATAAATATTTGTATTAATTTAACATTTTTCTTTATAGTGCAATACTGATGTTATATTCAAATTTTTCCATTTAAATAAAAACTCATTACACTAGGAATTTTTGTCTTAGTTTTATGGTAACATAGGGATAAAAAACATCGATAGGAATGTTTGTAGATTTAATAAAATAATCAGGGTACTAAGAGTTGTATACAAAAGTTAAATCAACGTCACTTTTATTATCAGGTCAATAGGTACCTGAAAAAAAATAGTTTCTCAAGATATTTAAAAAATGGCATCATCCTAAACAAGTATTGTTTTCTGTTTTTAAGAAACAGTCGATTTTCTTTTTTTTTAGAAACTAATATAAACAATTTAAAATCATTCAGTCGGATGTCGTTTAAATTTTCACTTCGTTCAAAATACATATAACTTTTTAAACATTTTCATAGATTGGTGTCAGAAAATATGTAAAAGCATTATGTTTTTTTAAAATTTCCAAAGGAATATGGTCTTGAAGCGTATCAGCTATGCTTATGTCTGCTTCACACCGAATAAGCGTCCTGTTTCTCTACGATCTGCCGTCAAAGAGTTAAACGTTAAATTCTTTAAACACGTTTCCATAAAGTGAGTGGAAACCCTCCCCCTGACGTTACGTAAAGTGGGTACATCAACTTCAATTTCATATAATACGGGACCACCACGAAATATTAAAAATCGATTTTGATGAAACTTGAAATATATGGACACTAAGAAACATGAATCACTAGAAAATATTAAACTCTTTAACACAGACAATTCTTTTTTATTGGTTTAGATTTATTGTGAAATCTTTAATGGAATATTAATGGAATAAACGGCTTTTTAATTTATAAAATTGAGGAAAATACAGCTGTTTCTAATATATTTGAGCCAATAATATAGCAAGTCATTATCTAAGTCATTATCTAACTACGCATATAATTTATTATAATTGTTTTAATATTAATATTACTGTTATTGTCAGTAGAAACATTATGGAAGGAATGTTTCATAATATTTTCATAAGAACATTTCTTAATATAATTGAAATATAATTATTTTACACGTGAGTATCATTTTGAATGTCAAAATTCAATTTTATTTCATTAAACGCAATAAAGACTGAATCATTGTTTTCATTTTGCCAATTATCTCAGTACTGTGACATGGATTTTAGTATTACCTATGTTTTCACAGTGAGTTAAGAATTAAAATGTGACTTATTACTTTCGTACAAATTTTAAAGTTTATTCTCAAATACATGAATACCGTCCATTCATTCTGGAAATACTCTTTTCTCAAAATCTGCTTCTGTACTCACAAATATGTAATATATTGAATTTGGAATAATTACCAGGTATATAAACTTAATGGTAAAAAAATGACATTTCCGATTTTCTCTAAAAATACTAGAAATTATTAATTCTACTGTGTATAAGCACAAATTCAAGCGTTTCCGCGAGTTCACCTGCGGCGTTCATTATTCATCTTTAAGAAACGAGAGCGAGCAAGAAAAGTATATAAAACCATAAGAAAAAGCGAAACCGAGCAACAACAATCGAAGTAGAACTCTCGACAAGAGAAAGGATAACAAGTAAAACCGAAAAACTCTTGTATCCAATGAGCCATCCACTACCGAAAATTAAAATTTTTATATTTTCCGTTTAATCTTCATCCGAGTAACGTGAATGTATCTTGAGACTACTCTCCTAATGAAAATCAGTTCAAACATGACCTCGAGCGAAATATCTTTGGTGATATGGATTTCTTAATGGTACAACTTCACATGAAAAATATGTGAACTATTCAATACTATTTAACATTAAACGTTTTAGAACATTATATATATATACCTTTTCCCACCGTAATCAGCCAAATCACTGATTATAATATAAAAGTGAACAAATCAAGCAATTTTTCTTAGTAGAAACAGGAGACAAAACTTGAAAAACTGATTAACAGTATGATTAAACCTACTATTACTATATAGAGACATTTAAATAAGTAAACACAAATAAATATAATAAATTTATTTATTAGTTACTACAAACGTGAATATTTAACATGAATTGATAATTTTCAAACTTTGATTTCTAAAGCTTAAATTCGTGTAATATAGGGATTGATTTAATGTTAAATGAACGAACAAAAGCGGAGAATTTCAAATCAAAATTTAAAACCGTTCATTTGACCGTTCGCGGTACGTTTATTGTTAATAATGCAACTTCACGCGCGAGATATATAAATTATTTAACGCTGTTTAAATAATTAACAGTTCGCACACTTTTACTTGTTCGATGGTTTGTAGCAATCTGAAAATGGATCCTTATCGATCGAGTGACTACTATGTATAACATCTCGGATTCTAATTTCGTCACCTGGATCCGTCGTGTATAGTGTGAGTTACGGTAGCCCGCATTGTCGACGGCCATAAAGATCCTATCTGAAATTTCGAATCGGTCGTGCTTTACCAGGATAGGTGCGTGACAGGTAGCTGTTCTCGTGCACATACTCAATGCCACCGGCGAAATAAATGAAATTGCAATCAGAGTCAAATAAGTAAAACCATCGTACATACTGATCCGTTTTAAATTGCACTGTTACAGACAGAGCATTATATGAAGTACTACTTTATTCCGTTATCGTTTGATTAAACTGTTTAAATTGCTTCTCACACTAGGTTTACGAACGTTTATTGTGTACTTATTTTCTATTTTTTCTAGAACAATTAATGTTCAAAGGAATTCTACTCAAATAATATTATTTTAATCTCTTGACCTATGATTTCTTTCTCAACTCTGATCGATACGGCTACTTTGTGATTAATAATTTATTGGAAAAAGAGACAAATTCTAAGCATGTGTTATGTCTATATTTCCTTTTCAGTATAATAATTGATTATAGAGGAATAATATTTACTTTGAATACGAATGAACTGAGTAATATATATTTGTTGAGTCATGTTGAAAATCTTCATCACGGGTCTCGCTCGTTGTAGAACAAGTTAAAGGTGAATGCAATACTACGAAGACAGAATTTACGAAACAGTTTATCTGTTTAGGTACCAGAAGTATCCTCTTTTTATTTTATTTAGAATAATAAAATAATACAATGACATACTGAATTAAACAGGATTAAGAAATTTAAAAATAGAGAAACGTTTAACGAATTCTATTAACACTGCTTCTGTATATTATTGTTTATGATGATTACCAAATGTAAACGTATCTATGTAATAGATAAAAGCGACATATTGATCAGTGAAATAATAATTGGTATTTCCAGGTATCGATATTACAGTAACCTGTCATGTTTAGGGAAAGCTTGAACAGCTTAATCCAGTAATCGTGAATAATGGAACGATACAAAATATATCTGATTTCTGAGTGGTTAGCATCCTATAATTACATGAATTTTAGGAAAAGAGGTTCTTGAATAGAAAAAGAGTTTCAGAGACAATAAGTTGGAAACTATTTCTTTTATATTATATTATATAGTATTATGGGACGTGATACAAAACTAAACTTTGTTTGAGGATTATTTGATATTAGAATATAAAACTTTAACATGTATCATAATTAATATTTTTATTGTTCATTGGTGTGGAATTATCACTGAGCACTTATCCTTGTCGCTAGAAATTTTTCGAACGTAGACAAACCGAAAGAATTTAGTCATTCATTATTCTGAAAAACCATCAAAATTTATA